GTCGGATGGTTGCTTAGGCTTTTATATATATAGATATGCATTACCTATGGACACAGACAATAGAGTGGTGAAGGCCTGTGCGGGTGGGGGAGGTTGGGGAGGGAGGAGGCAGGAACAGGGTGAGGGTGATAATGGGGGGAAAAAGAGGAACATCACCCCAGCTGGTTTGGCTCAGTGGTTAGAGCATCGGCCTGCAAACTGAAAGGTCCCAGGTTTGATTCCGATCAAGGGCACATGCCCAGGTTGTGGGCTTGATCCCCAGTGGGGGGCTTGCAGGAGGCAGCCTATCAATGATTCTCTCTCATCATTGATGTTTCTATCTCTCTCTCTCCCTCTTCCTTCCTCTCTGAAATCAATAAAAAATATAAAAAAGAAAAGAAAAAGAGGGACATCTATAATATTCTCAACAATAAAGATTAAAAATAAATAAAAAATAAAAGTTTGAAAAATGGCCTTTGTTTTCTTCTGCTCATCCCCATATTTCATGATCCACGTAAGCCCCTTGGGCCTCATGGCCCTCTGTTTGCAGAACAACTTGAGTCTGGTTTTGGGATGCTGCAAAGGGAATTGCCCAGAGGGCCACTGGCACCTTCTCCTGTGAGCACCCAGAGGTCACACCTGATTTCTTTTAGCAAGTCCAGAAGAGAGTGAGAAGCCAGGGCACAGAGGGCATCAGGGTGAAGGCACCGCTCCAGCTCTCAAACTGGCTGCTGCTGCCCCCAGGTCTCAGGCATACAGTCAATGAGGTACCCATGTTGCAGTTCCCAGTGGAGAATGGGCTGCAGTCCCCATTACTCAGGCCACTGACCGGGTTGGAATTACCACTGACTGGTCTTAGCTGTTCTTCCTAAAATTCTTCAGCAGAAAACGAAAATAAACCATTTCTAAGAGTTGTGTCCAGTGAAAAACATTCCTGAGGCCTAGAGTTGAGCCTCAGGGAAGGCTGTGGGCTGATGGACCACCTCCCCCGCCCCCCCCCCCCCCACCCTGGCTGCCTCAGCAGGATATGGGAGGAGATATCAAACACCTGCGCATCCTAGAGCTGCTGAGGGCTAAAGCTCTGTGCTCTGGACCACACAAAACAGGAGGTATGATTTTGCATCTGGTGCAAATCTAATTGAGTAAAATTAAATAATAACTATGCATAAGAGGAAAGGTTCAAACTGCAATTCGCTTATTTGATTCAAGCCTGCTAAGAATCTCCTGAGGAGACAACTGCCACCAACACACACATGCAGCTGCAGGGGGTGCCCTGGGTGTCACACTTGGATAGTAACACAAGGACCACTGAAAAATTTTTATTTCCACTTTTTCTGTCTTATAAATTTTCTATAATGTGAACATGCTTTTAAAAAATCAGTATGTATATCCATTCAATGAATATTTAAAAAAATAAGTTTTTCTTGATTTCAGAGAGAGGAAGGGAGAGGGAGAGAGAGATAGAAACCTCAATTAGGAGAGAGAATCTTTGATTGGCTGCCTCCTACTTGCCCCCTACTGGGGACTGAGCCCACAACCCAGGCCTGTGCCCTGACAAGGAATCAAACTGTGACCTTCTGGTTCATGGATCAACACTCAACCACTGAGCCACACTGGCTAGACCCATTCGATGAATATTATCCTATCTAATAAAGATGGAATATGCTAATTGACCCTCACGCTGTCGCAAAGATGGCGGCACCCACAACCAATAAGGAGGGAATATGCTAATTGACTGCCTCACCCTCAAATATGGCGGCGCCCACAGCCACAAGATGGCGGAACCCATCCCCTCAGCCCTGCTGGAGCAGCAGGTGTGTGGTAAGGCCGGGCCCGCATGCCTGCCTCCATAGTCCCCAGTCCCCTCAGTCCCCCAGCCTCCCAGGGCCGCCCGAGGTGCAGGTAACCAGGGCCGGCCGAGGCTTGCGCTGCCGGCAGTGGCAGCAGCAGAGGTGTGATGGGGCATTGCCTTCCCCTGATCTCTGGGTAGCCTCCCGCCCCTGAGGGCTCCCGGACTGTGAGAGGGGGCAGGCCGGGCTGAGGGACCCCCCCCCCCCCCCCAGTGCATGAATTTTCATGCACCGGGCCTCTAGTTCAGCCATAAAAAGAAACAAAGTACTGCCACCTGCTGCCACCTGGATGAGCTGTCAGTCATGCTGAGTGGGAGAGCCAGTCACAAAGGAGCACCATGGTGAGGCCCCGCTCATGAGAGTCCAGCAGAGGTGGCCCATAGAGACAGGAAGCCGCCTGCTGGGTGCCTGGGGCTGAGAGGGCGCGAGTGGGAGTGACTGGGAACTGGGACAGCTTTTCTGGGGAGTGATGAAAATGTTCTGGAATTAGAAAGTGGTGATGGGGATACAACTCTGTGAAGATACTAAAAACCATTGAATTGTACACTTTACAAGAGTGAATTCTGTGGAGTGTGAATTATGCCTCAATAAAGCTGTTACTTAAAAAAATCAACATGTTTTTAAATTTGGGAGTAAAGAAAATGTTACATCAGCGTATTAATTATGAAGAAGAATAAAATAAAGACTGTGCTATAGAACAGCGGTCGCCAACTGGAGGTCCGTGGACCACGGGTGGTCTGCGAGGTCCGAAAGGCTGGTGACTGCTGCTATAGAACACTGCCCCCATCGGGTGGGATGGGAGTGGAAGGGCCAGACTGCCCCCAAGCCACACAGGACTCTTCAGAGGCCACACAACCCCACCCACGTGTTCCCCCTACTGTACCCTTCCTTTGGTCTCTGAGAGGCCTCCTCTGCAGGTCCCTGTGCTCCCAGGGCACTCCTGCCACCCCCCACTCTGCTCTCCTGGTTCCACGCCCTCACCGTGCCCTCAGGACCAGAGCTCCCTGCTGTCCTGCCTGGTACCGGGCGGCTCCACACGGTGGTCCAGTGGCCCCTGCTGGCGAGGGGCTGCCTCCCTGTGCTGTGCCCTGTGGGGGCTCCAGGAGGCTGCACTTGGTCTGACCACTAGACGGTCCTGGCTGCCTGAGCTCACTCAGAGGCAGTCCCGGACATTGCGCTCCCTCGGGCAAGGCCAACCTCACGCTGTTGAGGTGCTTTCCAGGGAGGAGTGAGCAGAGGCGGGCAGTGGGGTCTGCCTTCCTCCCTCGCTGCCTCCGTGAGTGAACTTGTGTTGAACACTGACTGCACCTCAGCATTGTTGATTATGGCCATTATGTCCATCTCACAGATAACCAAACTGTTGACATGGTTCTGTTGCCTGCTGGGTTCTGGCCCTGGAAGTGCCCATCTTACTGACTAGGCTGGGCACCAGGGCAGACTAGACTTGGGGTTACTTGGGGCTCGCTGGCACTGGAGTGTGAGGTAGGCGTCTGAAAGCTCTTGGTGGTGGAGGGTCACCGTGGCTAGCTCTGTGGCTTGAGCAAGCTACTTAAAATCAAAAAGTCTCTGGGCTGGGCCTCAACATATTCATCTGTGACATGGAGAGAATCAACCCATTTGGCTCCAACAGCCACTGAGATGGCTGCTCCAAGCAGCAGAGAGAGGTGCTGCCATCACCAGCCAGGGCAGACCCTTTGTGGAGTGTTTTCCACCGGTTTGGCTGTCCCAGCCTAAGGCAACCAGACAGGCAGTGCTTCTCTCCCCGTCAGAGCCAGGGGTAGAGGCTCAGAGGCGTCAAGAGACGTGGCTGAGGACACACAGTGATCCTGGCAAAGTTCTGGTCCCAAGGTCTGTTCAAGGATGCCTCCGGCTTCCCCTTCCCGGATCCTAGGGTCTGTACCAGAGCCTAGCGCAAGGTTTCTCGCAAAGGGAACGGTGACCTCTCCACTAGCTGCTCAGCCATGGACTCCATGGTCATGGGGCAGCAGAGGAGTTAAGCTTCCTGCCACGGAGGCGTGTGAGCAGGGGGCCTGCAACCAGCCTAGGGCCGAGAGCACACAGCACTCAGCAGAGCAGGCTCTCCCCCTCGCCCAGGCCCTGAGCTGCTCTGTGATGTGTGGGGACACTGCTGCCATACTTTGCACACCTGCCGGCTGTGGGTGGGCATCGGCTCACAGGCCATAATGTGAATGGCCAGTCATTTCCTCCATCACCAGGCAGGCATGATGGCCACATGCCACCAGTGGGGCCAGGGCAGCAGAGAGGAGGCCAGTCTGGTGACATGCATCTGTCTGGGACATGCAGAGATCCACCCCTGCTGAGTTTTCCCTCGGAAAGGCGAGGCACGCCCATCCCAGGTTGGGACTCCTGGTGCCTCGAGGACGTACTGAGTCTTGAGAAACTGGCAGTCTTCCAGATGGGAGAAGCCAGGAGGTCAGGCCAGTTCTTCAGGGGGGATACTGGGCTCGGCAGGGCGGGGCGGCCCAGGGCCGTGCGAAGGGCAGGGCCAGGCTGGGTCTGTAGCCCCACAGGGAAGAACTTCACCCGCCCTCCTCTGCCCTCCTCTGCCCGAAGGCCCCCACTCGGGGGGAGGACCTGCTCAGGTCCCCACATCAGAGGGTGTCCTGGGGGCAGAGCTGGGTCTGCTGTTAACCCTTCCTCACGTGGACTCGGAGCTTGATGCCCGTCCCACGAATAGAAGTGAGGACTGCAGTCTGTATTTAGCAGGTGTGAGACACATGCCCAGCCCAGTCCAGCACTCCGTGGAACCATGGCTCTTGGGGGTTGTCCTGATCCGTGGCACCTGCCCATTTCCATGGTGCGATTTCTCCCGGTTTTGCCACGTGTGACTGCAGCTCTCGCCAGGTGGTCTCTGCTGGCTCCAGCCCCACCGGCACCAGCACCACCAGGACCTCACAAGTCGTGCTGCTCTGTAAAGTCAGCTGGCCCCGCCCCACGCGGAGGGCGTTGCTGAGTGCCTTTGTGCCACGGCCCCGGGCCCAGCAGCCACAGGTACACCACCTGTTTGAAAGTTTGTGTGCTTGACAGTGTGCCAGGCCAGGGGGCAGGGACCAACATGAGAACAGCCTGGCATTTCCCCTGGCAGCTGCCTCCCCGTGCCTCCCTTTCCGGCTCTGGAAGTGGGCCCATGACCACACACCACAGGCTCACGGAGGACAGGGGAGAGGGTGAGCTCAGGGCCTGCCCGCAGTGGGGCTGGGAAACTAGCAGTGTAGTCTGCGGGAGGCCATTTCCCTGACGCAAGGTTCAAGGTGCTCCAGAGAAGGGCATGTCTGTGGGAGTCCAGAGGATCTGCAGAGAGGACGGTGCCATTTAAAGGAGGGGGTGAGGAGGCGCTGGGGCGGGGCCTCCGCAAGGCTCTCCTGCCCTAGCCACCCACAGGGCAGGTCGCCTGTTCAGGAGCTCTGGGGCTTAGAGGAGATAATTTCGGCCTTTGGGGTCTCGGTTGTTCAACTGAAAAATGGGAATTATGAGGACAGCACTCACCCTCCTGGTGAGGTGGTGAGGTCGGGCGGGTCCTAGTGAAGTGAGAGGGGCACCGCACCCCTCCACCAGGCTGAGGCCCCGTTGGGGCGGGGCGGGGCGGAGGCATCTTGCGGTCTTCCTAAGGGCGGGGACCCCGGCGCTGGACCGCTGCCTTCTGGGCTGGCCAAGCTGCCCTGGCGCAGGGCTCGGCGGCCTGGCACACCTGCGGCGCTAGGTGAGGAGGTGAGCCTGTTTCTCCTCTCGCGGACACACGGGCTCTCCGGCCGGCAGCTGCGCGAGGCAGGTCCAAGGCCCGCGGGCCGGGGTCGCCAGGGCTCAGCGCTGAGCGTGCAGCGGCTCCCAGGGCGGGCGGAGGCCTGGGGGCCCGGGAGCCCGCCCGCCCGCCCGCAGGTGGCGGCCAGCCCCGCGGCCAGGTGGGCGTGCCAGCCCCGCCCCGCGCCGCCGCGGACGCCCCGCCCTCCCGCGCGCCGGGTCGGAGCCGGAGCCGGTGCGGAGCGCAGCCGCGCGGAACCCGAGCCGCACGCGGGAGCGCGGCCCGCAGCTGAAGGCTCCAGGGAGCGCGTCACGACCGGACCCGAGAGCGACCGGCCCGAAGCGCGGCCTTGCCCGCCCCGGCCGCGGCATGGACGGCGCCCGTTCGCCCTGTGAGTGCGGAGCCCCCCGCCGCCTCCTTTGTGCGCGCGCCGCGCCGCGCAGCCCCCTCCCCGCGCGCCCCTCCTGCGCCCCCGGCCGAGCCCTTTGTGGAGCCGCTGTGCGCTGGTCCCTCCGTCCGCACCCCTCACCGCCCGGCCCCCAGCTCTCAGCCCGGGCCCCCGGGGACAGCCCCTCAGGCCTCTTCCCCGGCCGGGCGGGCGGGCACGGCCTCCTCCCCCACCGGGCCGCTCGCGCCGCAGCCCCTCCGCGGGGACAGCCCCGAGTCCCTCCGCGGCCGGGCGGGCCCCGCGCGGCGCTGTCTCACCGCGGCCGGGACAGGTGCGGGCCCGCTGACGCGGCCTGTGTCCTTGCCCGCAGAGATGGACGGTGATGGCCGCCTAGACGCCCGCGGAGCGCCGGGGGAGGCCGGGCGCGGCGCGGAGCCCGCGGGCATGGCGGAGCCGACGGCGGTGCCCAGGGCGAGGGCGGCGCGGCCCGGGCCGCACCGCTTCCTGCGGCGCAGCGTGGTGGAGTCGGACCAGGAGGAGCCGCCGGGCCTGGAGGCCGCCGAGACGCCCGGCGCGCAGCCCCCGCAGCCCTTGCAGCGCCGGGTGCTGCTGCTCTGCAAGACGCGCCGCCTCATCGCCGAGCGCGCCCGCGGCCGCCCCGCCGCCCCCGCGCCCGCCGCGCCCGCCGCGCCGCCCTGCGCCCCCAGCGCCCCTGGCCCGGAGCCCGCGGGTGCGCAGGATCCTGGCCTGGATGCGGTGTCGGCGCCCGCCCCGGACCGGCCTCCAGAGGAGGCGGCAGAGGCGAGGAAGGAGGACGCGGGGGCGCCGGAGGCCAGGCCGGAGCCCGGGCCTGTCCGCCGGGATGAGCCCGAGGAGGAGGAGGACGATGAGGATGACCTCAAGGCCGTGGCCACCTCCCTGGACGGCCGCTTCCTCAAGTTCGACATCGAGCTGGGCCGCGGCTCCTTCAAGACGGTGTACAAGGGGCTGGACACGGAGACCTGGGTGGAGGTGGCCTGGTGCGAGCTGCAGGTGCGTGGTGGGCCCTGCATGTCCTCCTTCCGTGCCTGGCCCCCCTGGCCTGAAGCCGCTCTCACCTTTGTGTGTGACCGGCGCGTGGGGCGGGGTGAGGGGTGGCTCCGTGTGGTACCGATTGGGGGTGGAGGTGGGATCTCCTGGCGTGTGGCCTCCGATCTGGCACAACGTGGCCCACAGAGAGTGAGCACTTGGCGGGTGTGTCTCTCACGGCCCTCCCTACTCGGAACTCAGGGCTGTACTGACCCAGGTGGTCCAGGCGGTGTGGATCCTGTGTCCGTGCAGAAGTGTGGGGGCTGCCGGGCAGTCCTGGGCTTGGGAACTCTGAGCTGCTCTTTAATGAGCACCTTCCAGTCTTGCCAGGTGTAGGTGCCCTGGCCTGGGTCCCTAAGGGGCTGCCCCTGGCCCAGGCCTGTTTAGGGTGGGGCTGGTGGTCCCGGGCTGCTGGACAAGGCCTGGAGCTGCTGTGAGTGCTTCTCGGAGCTCCCAAAGCCCATTTGTTCACAAAGTGGGTACGTGAGGTCTTAAAACTAAGTCATCCTGAAGGCAGATGGGTGGCTTTTTTTTCTTTTCTTGCAAAGGCTCTGGGCATGCATTTTTCATCACCTTGCCCTTGCGATGGCTGTGTCAGTCCCAGCCCTGGAAGATTATATAAACCGAAACCCGAGCTGCCCTGGGCGCCGTGGCAGCCTGGGCCGTGCCTGTCACAGTGGGTGTTTACTGGCCCTCTGTCTCGCGGGGGCAGCTGTCCAGCATGAGGCCGGCGTCGGTGGTGTAAGCCGACCCCAGCGCCCGTAAGGCTAGCCGGGCCTTCCAGGTTTGACGCAGGCCACTGCCACACTGCAGGCCGCCTGCCTTTTGGTTCAGAAAAGGGATTTGGTTGCTCTGTCCTCCAGGCTCTGGCTAGATGTGTGTGTGTGTGTGTGTGTGTGTGTGTGTGTGTGTGTGTGTGTGTTTGAGAGAGAAGGAGAGAGAGCACGCGCACGCTGGACTAGGCTGGTAGTGCTGACTTGTCCTCAGCCTTTTTCCTGAGACAAAGGACCCAGAGGTCGCCCTCCCGAGTGAAGCCCTTGGCCCTGCTATGGAAATGCAGGCGTGTCCCAGGGAGTCCCCGGACGAAAGAGCTGCCCTTCGCCTTCATGGCCCTGCTGAGGTGGCCGGGGCCGAGACGGCACGGGAGTGAGTGGGCGTCACTGCTCACGAGAGTGCAGAGGAGCGAAGATCTGAGAGGGAAGATCGGGACGAGGGGTGGGGGAGGGGGGAGGAGGCTTCCTGGTTCTAGAGAGGGGGGGAGGAGGCTTCCTGGTTCTAGCAGTGCAGGCCCACCGCCAAGTGACCCGGCCTCCGGCATGGCAGTGGGCACCCCGGTGCTCCCGGGTAATGCCCAGGCAGGAGGCGGCAGGCCTGGTGAGACCTCAGCCGTGGAGCACAGGGGATTGGCCGTGGCATTGTGGGTGCTGTGACCCCGGGCGGGAGGAGGAGGCTGTCGCCCCTCATTTCCTTTAGGGCAAGGGCCTGAGCAAAGCTCAGAGGTGGAGCCTGCCTCGTCCAGGGCCTGGACTTGGTGGTGGGAAGGCTGGAGATGGCCTCTATGTGCCTTGGCCCGGCGTTACCGGGAGTCCCGAGCCAGCAGGGGAACCGTCCTGTGTCCCCCAGTGAGGGTCCTGCTAATGTTTGCTCAGCCAGGGCAGCACTGGGCGTCTGCCTGCTGCTGGGGGCGTGAGAGGACCAGCTGAGGGCAGCCGAAAACCTGCTCCTCACCCACCAGAGGCTGCTGTTTCCCCCATTATTAAGGACCCCACTCAGGCCAGAGGTGAGGACATAGGTGGAGAGGGAGATAGCATCATCCTGGGAGGAGGCCCAGCCTGGTGGCCGTCCACTTAGGCTTGGGGATGAGTGTGGAGGGTAGGGTGCCAGGTTAGGCCTGGAGGCCACTGCACATGGGGAGCACAGTGGGTGGCGTTCTGGCTTTGTGCCTGGAGAGGGGCTCCAGTGTGGACGCCTGGTGTCAGGCTCCCTCCCAGTGGAGGGTGGGTCGCCTTCAGTGCAGGGAGTTTTACACAGGAGGCTTCCTCGCCCTCAGGGCCTTCCCTGTCTCAGAACGCCTGGCCGGCAGCTTCGGACACCCGAAGTCCCACCCTCAGAGTCTGTGTAATTTCTCACCCTCTGCATGCAGGGGGTGTTGGCACCTCTGGGTGCCTCTGGGGCACCCAGAACTGAGACAGCGTCACCTGCTTGCTTTTTCTGGTTTCCTGCCCGGGGAAGGCCGTGCGCGTTTCTGGACCTCACAGTGTGACTTGGAGGACATCAGATCCCCTTGGCGTCCTCAGTGTTGGAAGTGCTTTGCCGAGGGAGCAGTGAGGCGTCACCTGAACTCTGCACATGTCCAGAGATGACACTGATGTTTTGGGGAAGCCATTTTAAAGCAGACTCCGGTCTCTTTTCTTCCAAGTGGGCGTTTATCCTGGCATCAGACCACATTACGATATTGAGGTAGGAAGTGCAAGTGTGCCCAGAATCGCTGCCCTCGCTCTGGCTCAGGTTCCCACGTCTCCACGTCCTTGGGCACCGCCGGCCCACGCGGGGTCCACGAGGACCCCTCTTACAGACGGTGCTCGGGTAGCGGCTGGTCCTGCCCTGCGGCCGGAGCGGAGTCTGCGCACGGCCCAGCTGCTCAGGTCACTGCACTTCTGCGCCGGTGGGAGACCTGGAGAGAAAACAAAGCCAGCCCATACGGGCCGAGGCGGAGCCTAGCTGGAGGCGCCTGGCCCACCTGCCTCTCCCAGGTCTTTCTCAGGGACCAGGCGTCCCTTCTGTCAGAGTCCTAGGCCCCTGGGCACCTCCCCCCATGGAGGCTCTGAGCTGCTGTTGCAGGGCTGGGCACAGCCTCCTGGGCGGTCCCCCTGGAGCCTTTGTTTCCCACGTGTGTCCGGGTTCAGGCCTGGCCTGGGGTCATTCTGCCTCATGGGGTGTGTCAGTCCTTGACCTTCACCCAAGCTCTGAGCGCCCCTTCAGGGTAACCCCGAGGCCAAGCCCCACTCCTCAGGCCCTGGGTCTCCCCAGTTCTGTCATGGAGCCATCCTGCACCTCTGTGCTGCCTGGAGGTGGCTGGCTCCCGGGGGTGGGGATGGCCTGGACTCAGGCCAGGGAGCAGCTTGTGAATGTGGGGACCACAAGACCTGATAACGTGTGACCTGCTGGTGTCCCCTGATGCGGCCACAGAGGCACCGTGTTCCCCACCTCCTGTGCCAGGCAGACGTCTGTGTCCTGTTCACCAGTCTGTGCCTCGGATGTGGGTGATGCGCCTGGGAACGTGCTGCATGTGGCCATGCTGACTGCGCCGGTCCACTCCCTGGCCTCAGAGGATGGCCAGCTGCCTCTCCTGTGGCCCTGAGCTCAGGCGCCTCCTGCCGGTACACCCTCCCCTTTCGTAGACAGGCCGTGCCCACCCACCTCACCAGCAGCCCAGCCAAGGTGGAGAGGCCCCCCTCCCAGTCCCTCCTGCTTTCCCAGGAGCCCTCCGCAGCTGACGGGAGGGGGATGTTCCGAGGGGATGGTATGCGCACGTAGGGGATGGTATGCGCACGTGTAGGACCTGAGAAGGGCTGCAGTCAGTTTGCAGGTGGTTACCCTGTGTTGGTATTTTTATTAACCTCCTAAGAGCTTAGTTTTGTTGCGAGAGCTATGTTTTGGAGTCAGTTGGATGCCAACACTGTGTTTGTTTTTTCCAAGTGAAGTCACACCACGGTTCTGGTTTGGTTGGTGAGAAAGGTTGGTACCAGCCACCTAGAGGCCTGTGAGGACCGCTCCTGCCGCCAAGGCAGGCCGTGGGTGCCTCTGCTTGGGTGGTGCTGGCGAGAGGGATGTGGTCTGTGAAGATGGACAGGCTGGGGCCACCATCGTGGGCATATCGGGCACTCTTGGCTCCTTCCCTTTGGAAATAAGCGCTCCTGAGACCGGCTGTGTGCCCTCTGGGCGTCCTTGGAGGCCCTGCTGTGTGGGCATCAGCTAAGCCTTATTCTGGGCCAAATCGCTGAAGGACTTGGGCCCAGACAGCCTCACGCCCTGAGAGGGCTGGCGGGCACCTCCCCACCCTGTGCCGTTTCTGGGTGGTGGCTGGGGGCTTACTTGAAGTGGGTGAGCATTGCTGGTGGGTTGTGGTTCCAGACATGATGGTAGTGAGAAAAAACATTGCTAAGAGGAGAGGGAGCAGATGTTCCAGAAGTTTCCGGCACCAGGCCCCGTGCTCAGAGCTCCGCAGTGCAGTATGGTTCATTGGCTCAGATGTATGGCATGGTTGAGTGTGTGCTCTGGTTTTACCTGGGGTACCACCGTGGGCGGGGCCCGTCACGGAGAGGCGTCTGTGAGAAGCGGCAGGACAGGGCGGGGTGCGTGTGGGGAGAGCCCGCCCTGCGGTCAGGGGCCAGCGGGCTTGCCTGCGTCTGCCACTCACCTTGCATAGCGGCCTGGACTGGCGGCCTCTGACCATCTTGTGGGGCCAGTGGCTCAGACCAGCTTCAGGCCAGAGCTGGTGATGCCCAAGGTGACGACACGGAGCTCCAGTGTCACTGGTGGGAGAGAGCTTGACCTGGCCTAGCAGAGGTGTGGCCACCTGCCTGGTCTCCTTTGTGGTCCGCGCCCCCGCCGGGCTGAGTGGCAGGCGGGTGCTTGCTGTAGGGGTGTTCAGGAGCCCTGCAACTAGTCACACAAACACCCTAGAAACAGGAGGCCTGCTCCGTGCAGACCCCAGCCCCACAGCTTCCCTTGGGGCGCCTCAGTTTACCTGAGTGAGGGCAGTGCCCGCCAGGCTTCAGGGCGTGGAGACTGGAGGGCAGGCACTCGCGGGCAGCTCTCCTCGCCCTGTGCTCCCCTCGAGGACACAGTTTTGAGAAGCACAGGTGGAAGGGCCAGGCCTGCCTGTCGCTCCCCGCTGGTGCAGGCCGCGGTGCAGGCCGACCAGGCACCCGCCCACTCTGCGCTGCAGATGAGGAAGGGGT